ATGTTTCTCACGCTCTCTTCGTCTCTCTTTCTCACGCTCCCATTCTTCTCTTTCTTTAAACAAAACTCTATCGTGCTCTTTAGCTTGCAACTCCAACTTCTTGACTTGCAAAGCAAGATCTTCTGAACTACCCTCACCTGCTTCAGGATAGTCTACCAGCTTTTCCTCATCACCAAAGACGCCCTTTTTATGCAATGAATCAACAAGCAACACCTGAAGTTCACGTTTGGACTGCGTATTATGAAAACTAACCTTATAATGTGCAGCAATTTTCATAAGATCAGCCTTATTGATTTGGAACAATTCAGCTTGCGTCGGATTCGCAATAAAATATGTTAATTCAAACATGATTGATTAACGTCTTAGGTTAAAGAGAAAAAATAAAAAGCACTACACGAGCCAAAATTCACATCAATTGACTGTGATTCAACAAAGTAACAAATTCAAGTGTGAGCAGATCAAAAAGATCACACAAAATCCAGATCAATCTCGGACGAGCGCCCCAAATATGTTACGGCCCATAACCATTTTAAGGCTCGTTAATTCAAACAATTAAATAAAGGACACAGGCCGAACATATAAAAAGAATCACAACACCTGATGTGAATTTCAGGACGCCTCTATTTAATTAATTTACAGAGTTCAACTCAAACATCCAGAAAATAATGTTTTATTATTATTATTATTATTTTATTTATTTAATTATTTTGATTGATGAGAAATGTATGTATTTATTTTTATTTAATTTTTTATAAATAAACATAAAATATACTATAAATAAATTATTGTAAATATAAACACTTATATAATTATAAATATGTTATAACATTTGGGTGAAAGGCATTTATATAACGTACTGCAACACACACCATTTGGTGAAACACAGTGTGTGACTTCTTTGATTTGTGACTTGTTTTTTGATTTGTTAATTGTTTTGGCCATACTAGTCAAACATCTGAAAATAAATGTATACTGTATGTAAATGTAACCCTTTATTCCCTTTCAAGTATAATTCATGGACCAGCGCCAGTGAGCCCCAGTATAATGTCTATTGAATTCAAACTATGGCCCCTTTGATACTCATAGAATATATTTATAGCACGCACCATTTGTTCCTCAACCATTGTGTCTCCTGTAGTCCTGTGACACCTCATGTGTATGGATGGATGGTCTCCAAACTATTGCATCCTTTCATCTTTTTTTCACTTGGCCCTGTTTGAAAGACAAAGCAGATGCCGTTTTAGAGGCTTAATTACTGTTATGGAGGGAACTTTAATAGCACAGACCCAGGCAGGTCATTCAACACCGCCTGAAACTCAATCCAGCTCCTTCATATCTATATATATATATATAAATATTATATAAATAATTATATAAGTCTGAATATATATGTAAATAATTGATATAAATGCATGTAATGAAATCTGAAAATATGTAAATCCTGAATATACTGTATAAATGCAAATATGGATATATATATTGTCTACATCTCAATATAACTATGTCTTTATTATAAAGCATATCAATAGACTTTTTATTATACCTGTACATACTGTATATAGTTATAAATGTAAATATTTGTACTATATTAATTATTGTAAGTGCATCTCACTAATCTAAACCAAAAGGAGTATTTTCCATAAACTTTAAAAAAAGGCTGGCTGTGGTGCCAAAAGGTCCTCACAGTAAGTGACAATGATAATACCAATCTTTTCCAGTAGCCCCTCACTGCAGAACAAAGATCCAGGGAGCGGGGTTGGATCCACATCTCGGGGTGGAGATGGGTGGGTTTGGGGATCAGGTGGTGGAGACGGGTAGGTTTAGGTATATGTAAGGTGGGAGGAGTTGGATCTGGATCCAACCTCGCCCCCTGGATCTTGTGCTCTGCAGTGAGGACCATCTCATCTTTTCTGCACAGTTCAGCATGGCTGAGAGGGCTAGGGAAATTGCCAACAACATCATATGTTTACAAATTGAGATTGGAGTGAATAGAGACAATTGCAGCAGCATGTGATAGACAGTAATAATTAAAATAATTAATATATTACAATATCTGCATTGATACATGTACAGGATAAATAGGCATACTGTTTTCATTAAAAAAGCAAGAACATCTGCCTATTGACATGCCTAATAGTAAAGATATATTTATGTTGAAATGTAGACTATATATATTCAGATTTGCATTTATATACTCAAGATTTATAAACATACATTGTGATTTACTATTATATAATTAGAATAATAAATATAAATTCACAATTTATATATTCAAAATGTACAACTATTTTTTTTTATATTTACTTCTATTCGTTCAGACTGTAACTATATATTCAGATTTACTATTATATATTCAGACTTATAACTATATATTCAGATTTGCTTCTATATATTCAGACATAACTATATATTCATATTTACATTTATATATTCAGACTCATACCTATATTCAGATTTGCTTCTATATATTTACCATTTACATTTATATATTTAGAGTTAAAAATATATATATATATATATTCACAATTTACATTTATATATTCAGATTTACAACTTTATATTCAGATTTACTTCTATATGTTATATCTGCTAAATGACTAAATGTAATGTAAATATATATATATATATATATATACTGTATGTATATACTGTATATATATATAAATATTTTTGAATTATTTGTAATTAAACCTACAAGTAACAAGAACACAACTATAAATTACTATACTAACTAATTAATTACTAACAAATACCTTGTCACACAGGTTCCACAAATAATAAATCTACTCAATCTCTATAGCTCTCTTCCAGTGATAAAAAACATAACGCAACGCAACGTAACGTAAAACGTAACGTAACGTAACGTAACAACATAACATAAATGACTGTAGTATTATTTATTTTAAAAAGTATAACAAATATTTAGAATAAAATTATGAAATAATTTTTGTTAGACCTTGTACAAATTATTAACCCCATACAACTAAATTATTACAAATAAATAAATAAATAAAAAAATAACTGCAAAAACACCCTAGTGAGCAACGCAAGCAGCTACTCTGCTGAAAAAAACCCCAAAAAACCTTAAACCTACTATTTTACAAGTCTTAGTGGGACTGTTGGCTGGTTTTAGAAGCTTTTTGGGTACTTTTTAGCTGATCACCAAGCTAAAACAGCCTAAGACTAGCCTAGGCCAGCTGGGAAACTAGCGAAGACTGTGTTTGGCTTAGTGTTATGTTAGAATCATTATTATACTCTTATACCTTTTGTTCTTTACTATTTTGAATAGTTTTTAGCTTTATTTTTTGTTTTTCATTTAAATGTTAAGTTTTGAAATTTTGTTCTATGCATTTGTCATTTTTATTTAATCTCTTTATTTTATATATATTATTGTATTTGGCATTTCTGTCACTTCTGAAATTATGGCTACGCCCCTGGTGTGACAAAATGTTAGCCTAATACTTTTAAAGCTCTTTTTTAAAATCTTGGCTTACATAAATTTCTACATATGCCATGTCATGCCATAGCATCATTAAACTAGCATCACAAAACTAGCATGGACAAAAGTGTTTTTTTTTCTTCTCTCTAACCATAAAGGCTGCTGTGTAATTTGCCCCCTGACTAAGCATTTAAAGAATTTAGGGGAAGCATTTAAATAATCCTGTGAATGCACTTAAAGAATGCAGAATCGAATCGTGAATCGAATCGATTCGCTGTCTACCCAAAGATTCACAGCCCTATAAGTTACCTTATAATAATATTCTCCATAAATAATAATGAATATTACATTTAGGGCAATATTTATACTTTTAGAGTAAAATGTTGTTAAAATTAGTATTTAAAAAAAAAAAAAACTAGAAATCACCTTACACTTTACAAGAGGCATGCTATTTATAGATCCCTTTCAGTCGGTCACTCTCGACGTCACGTCGGATGACCGACGAATTGGGATCTCGCTTAGAGGGACCAATCTACTTCGAGTGTAAACTAAATGAGCCAATGCACATTGGCATGCGATTATGGCATCCAGCTGCTGCTGATCACAGCGTTAGTATAAGTAGGCAGCAGATGCAGCGCATATTCAGCTTTTCGCTTCGGAGCAGAGCGATCACATCGTTCTGCTCCTGACTACTCTACTGAGAAAAG